CTACTGTTTGTAATTATATGAAGAGTGTACAACAAGCCACACGTACAACTTTAGTCATTGTCTAATTTAAGTAGTCCACCACACAGGTGATTAGACCACCTGATTGGTTCTACACTATGCTGCCATACCTGTAACCTACCTGTGAGTTATCTATTTAAACACTCTGTTTATTAACCCATACAGATCCAATCTAATGTCACTATAACACCTAATCGCTTAAGCCAGCTAGCTCATTACGGATCTATTTATTCAGAATGGCTTAGGTTCTCTCAAGATATATTGTACCTAACATATTGTAGATACTACAGAGCTAGTTAATCTCGAAGTATACCTACTAGAGTAGTCCATACCCATTTTACAGATTCACCTAGCTTAGACCTTTGTAGATGTTCATACAACTCCAGTTTTTACTGTAGCTCTCCACTAGTTTTCTGTATCTATCTACTCAGATATTTCACGAGGCAAATTCTCCCAATCTAGTTAGCTGCCAAGCTAGGTTGGTATTACTAATCCTCTTTGTGGAATGGCTTTATGCGCATTTGACTCGATCTGCATCTTTCGTCGATAGTTTTTTTTCTGAATCAAGTGTTAGCTGGTGTGACTATTGAAGGCCATACTACTTCACCAACTCAGGATTTCTACCATGCAGATCTCCTGCTCATAGATCCTATTAAGATTTATTCATATAACATTACATCTTATCAAATGCCTTGTCACACTTCTAATATCCAGATGATATTGGTGCAATATGATTTACAGAGTTACAATCTCAGAAACGAACAGGGTTTACTGTAAGTTGGGTACAAAGGTCCGGGTAATTATTCAGATTCGTTAACAGTGAGATTTGAACCCCAAACCTCTTGCATAACGGTCTGGCAACCTAACTACTACACTAAGATCACCAGACCTTATAATTAGTTTTTCCTATTATATTAGCAAAGTATAAAATATAACAAATAATAAAGTATGATTGATATATATTAATATCAGTTTTGTTTGTATATATATATAACTCTAAATAATAGTAATATTATAATAAGCATCTATAGGTTATCTAGTTTATTTGAATATTTGTAGAGTTGTCTAGCTATCTATGGGGTTAACCAGTTAATCGCAAGGTTTATCTAGTTAATTACAAATTAAAAACTAAGAATTATCTAGATATAGTTTTTTTAAAATGAATGTAACTATACAGTTAAAATAGATATCCAGTTCTGACTTCTAATTCTCAAAGATCATAGAAGAGCCTTATAATAGCTTTACAAATATAGCAAAACAATTATATTCAAAAGTAGAATCAATTTCTGAAATAAAAATAGAAGTATTCATACTACAAATAGAAGATAACATATTAGAAGACACAGCAGATCTTTCTACAAAAGAACTTCAAGCAGAAACAAATAACATAAAAGAAATTAGGAAAGAACAAGAAGTAGTAAACTATGAAGAACTATATAAAAATTGTTATTATATGTAAGAAGCTTTTGCTTAATTACTATAATCGTACTATACATAAAACTAATAGTAGCATATTT